GGCAACAACGAACATCGATAAGAGGAAAGATCGATGCAGAATGTCAGAATGCCAGGCACAGAACAGCACAGAACGGCACGGGATTGTTTCTACTCGAATCTCGTCTGTTCCATTAATAAGCAAAAAGACATAAATCAAGTTTATACCATCCATAGTAATGTATAGTAATGTGCATAATATCACGTGAAATAACATCACATGATATCTCCTTGTTACCCGCTTGGCACGAGCAAATCCGGGAAGCGTCGGCTGGGATCGCCAGCCAGGGAACGGAAGGGGCAAATTTTTTGGTGCTTGGCTCCGAAATCGCGCCACAGCAAAAGAAAGTGTCAGTCACCGGAGAAGATAATTTCCATCTCTGCCTTATAATTGAACATCCAACATCCAACAACCCCCCGGATCATCGGATACACCTAATTCAACGCCATAATCGACGACAATTTACTTAATTCATCGACGACTTACTGTTCTTGCTTTGCTGCAAGGAACAGACAACATAGGATCGGCCGGAGTACGCTCAGGACTTATCCACACGCGATCAACTGCTTTTTAGCGCCGCGCCTCACACGACCATGAAGGTCTTCTCCAATTCCTGCAACTTCGACTACTCTTGGGAAGAGGTGTCGACTGCGAATTGGAGGAAGTACTGTCCATGGAACGATAAATCAACACACGTCATTGCCGTCGACACGCTGTCGCGGCATGTCGACTCAGACACCGGAATTGTAAGTATCTTGAACCCGGCAATAGTGGCAAGAGATGAATGCTAACTCAACACTCCCAGCTCCGCACCGAACGCCTCATAACATGCAAACAATCCGCACCGAAATGGCTCCTCGCCATGATGGGCGGAAACGAAACCTCCCACGTCCTCGAGACCTCCTACGTTGACCCGCAATCGAAGAAAGTCACCATGTGCTCGACGAACCTCACCTTCGCGAACCTCATCGCCGTGCAGGAGACCGTCATCTACAGGCCGACATCCGACGCGAAGAAGACCGAGTTCCACCAGGAGGCCAAGGTGACGGCCGTCTGTGGTGGCTGGCAGAAAATCAAGACCGCGGTCGAGGAGGCGACGGTCTGCCAGTTCCAGAAGAACGCCATCAAGGGCCGTGAGGGATTTGAGGCTGTGCTCGAGATGAGCAGGCTCGCGTTCAGCGAGGAGAAGAGCAGGCAGAAGATGATGGCATAGAGGGAACGACGATACATACACAACCGAACCTTGTACCAACGACATTACGAACCCTCCTCATCTGCATCATCCACAACATTCGTCGATTAGCGTTGCATATAAAAAAAGGGGTTTTAGACGGGGTTCCCGGTTGTTTTTGGGGGTTTAATTATTTAAAAGTACAGGGAGTTTTACGTGGGGGACGGACGAGCCGGTCGATGCCTAGCGTTTTTGGCGGGCTTTTTGTTGCATATTGATATTGGAGCGGATAGACTTTAGCATGCGATACCCCAAAAGGCAGGAAAAGCGCACTGCTACAGTTTATAGAAGGACGAAGCGATTAGAGACGCATACACCCTTAGAATCCAAATCACTTTTACAGATTATAATTCGGCTTGTTGGTGGATGTCCACAGTGGGGTGATATATGGTGCGCCTATCTACCGTGTGAAATGTGGGCCGATATTTTCTTGTGAGAACCTCAATGATGTAAACTAAATACTATCGTACGATCCTAATTGATACTATACAGATGCTGTTGAATGTGTTTTAACTCCCAATCCGGATTCCCAGTGCATTCCAATTCCCATCACATGATCCAATGGGACGATTCTTAAATTGACTGCTACCTGGCCTGGCTGTGCACGGCTGAAGCGGCAGCCAGCTGATATAACCATGAGACACAGCCTCACGAAATCCCCAGACTTTTCTTCTTCAACAATCTCACAATGGAGGATCCAGATACAATAATGCCGTCCGAGACGGAATTCCCAGTGCCGCCGACGTACGAGAAGGCGGATGAGATACAGGAGTTTGACGCGTCGGGACAGCTGGTCACAACGGTGACGGTGCTCCGCGGCAGCCTCGTCCAACACGTTGGATATTCTTACGGGGACTCTTCGTTATTGCCGCCTGATTATCTGGTCAAGTATCCAGAGAGTCGTGTTTATGTATCTGTGAGTTGCGTTTCAACTCTAGTCAATATAAGAGTGTGATGAGGAGGGTTGTCGGGTTTCAATGCGTACGGAAACTAATGCCTCATAGATCCCAACGAGGTCGCACTCATGGGCGAAGAGCTTCATGGAGATATTCCTACCAGCTGGGTATCCCAATAGTGTCACAGAGGATTATATGGAGTAAGTTCTGAAATATTTCTAACGCGTGATACCTGTCTGACAGTGGCTCTTAGATATCAGATCTATGTAAGCATATCAGCGTCTCATTGTCATATTATTCTATATCGCTGGCTATGAAGCATGCATATATGGAAAACATCTACAAAGCATTGGCAACTACCCCCTCATCAAAATATCTCCTAACACCCTCCTAGGACTCGCTACAAGCCTTCTCAAGCTCCATAGCTGGCCTCATCGCGTCCCGCGCTGTCCTCGAAGGTAACCTCCCCCTCCGCTCATAATAACCCCTACTAACCCCCGTAGGTGTCGGAGTCGGCGACCCCACCGCCTCCCCAACAACCGCCCTCCTCCTCTCCGTTCTCCAAGACTCCACCGGCCGCATCGCCACCATCCTCTTCGCCGCACGCCTCGGCCTCTCCCTCGAGCCCGAGTGCAAGCGCTGGCGCCTCGTCGCTGACATCTTCAATGACGCCGCCATGATCCTCGACTGTCTCTCTCCCGCCTTCCCCAAGCCACTGCGCGTCAGTCTGCTCAGCACATCCGCCGCGTTGCGCGCCCTCTGCGGTGTCGCTGCTGGCTCCGCAAAGGCGAGTCTGAGCGCGCACTTTGCTAAGAGTGGTAATCTGGGCGAGCTGAATGCTGTGAGTCACCCCTCCCCTTCCCCATCATACGATCTCAACCCCTAACAACCCCCCAGAAAGATTCCTCCCAAGAAACCATCATCTCCCTCCTCGGCATGCTCGTCGGCACAGCCCTAATCCCCTACCTCACCACCCCCCTCCAAACCTGGACCTCCCTCCTCCTCCTCCTCACCATCCACCTAACCACCAACTACTTCGCCGTCCGCGCCGTCAGCATGCGCACCCTAAACCGACAACGCGCCTCACTCCTCCTCCGCCCCCTCCTCTCCCCTCCCATCCTCCCCGCCCCCCTCCCCGCCCTCCCTCCAAACCCCATCGCTACACCCCTCCAGATCTCGCAAGAAGAAACAGTAATCCACCTCGACCCATCGTCACTGCACGATACAAACCCAGCACACGCCTCTTTCGTCCCCCTCGCCACAGTCCTCTCACACGCTTCGCGCGGCCTGAACCCAATAAGACCACACATCCTCCTCAGCATCTTCGCCGCAGAATCCTACATCCTCTATTTCGACCGCTACACCCGCCACGCCTTCATAGCGCTCAAATCCTCCGCCACACCCTCTACAGCCCTACGCGCCTGGTTCTGCGCCATGGAGTGCGCGCACATGGACGACGGTGCGTGGGCGGGCGGCTGGAGCGGGGGACATGCGTGGGAGCCTCACCGTGGGGGTGAGGAAGGGACGGATTCCGCGGCGCTTGCGGGGTGCGTGAAGCGCGTTGCGAGGGTGTGGCCGGTTATTGAGGCAGAGTTGAAAGGGGAGGGGTGGGATATTAGTACTAATGCCTTAGAGACGAGGACGGGGACGCGGTTTAGTGTTGTGGGCGGGGAGGAGGGGGGGAAGTGGGAGTGGTGGCAGAAGTGGGCTGTGGAGGAGAAGGAAGCAAGTCGGACGGAGAGTACGAGCAAGACGAAGGGGAAGGAGGTTAAGAAAGGTGTGGTGCCGTCGCCGAATCCGCCGTTGCCGCCGTGGCCGTCGATTTTTGGGGCTTTTGGTAGGAAAAGCAAGAAGGAGGAAAATGTGGTGCTGGTTCAATCTCCTATAAAGGAAATAGCGAGCGAGGCACCTAGCGAAGCAGCGACGACCTCGACAACTCCACCCGCCTCAGAAGCAGGGTCGCATACATCCCGACCCAAACACCGACTACGGAAATGGCTCTCCTCTACCTTTCTCGGAACTCACGCCCCGCGCGGAAGAGAGGATAGGGACAGCGACGCGTCGTCCTCCCGGAGTGAAAGATTATCGACTGAGAAAGCCTCCCACGATGTCCTCTCAGAGAAAGCAGCGATGCAAGCAGCGATGGAAGCAGCAGCGCCTGCCAGACCCTCCTCGCCCTCTATCCTCTCCGAGAAAGCAGCTCTAGCAGCCGCAGCCGCAGCAGCGACCAGCAGACCCTCCTCCTCCTCCATCCTCTCCGAGAAAGCAGCGCTACAAGCAGCAGAAGCAGCCGAAGTAGCAGCGCTAGCAGCAGCAGCAACAGCAGCCCGGAACCACGCCGGCAGCTCATCCGAACCCCCACCGCCATATTCCGAGCTCCTCACCGAAAAAGCAGCGGAGGAGGGAGGCGAGAGTAGTGGAAAGAGCGAATGAGGTGCAAGAGCTAGTAGGACGGCGTAGGGAAAGAGTGAGTGAGGTGGAGGGGTTAGAACGGGTTAGGGAAAGAGCGCGTGGGGAAGGTAGGGGTGTATATATCTCGAGGGAAGGCGCGATTAGGGAGTAGATGAGTTTCTCTAGGAAGGAGCGAAGGGTAGGGAAGGTATGGAAGGAGCGACTAGGAGAATAGATGAGGTCTTTCTGGGAAAGAGCGATTGAGGAAGTATATGAGTTTGAGTTTTTCTGGGAAGGAGCGATTGAGCGATACGGAGTTAGTTTTACGTCAGGCAGGACTTGACCGCGCATTTTTGGGAGGTTTTAAAAGGGTCATGGAATACACGGGATATATGAGATTAACGAGATAAATGAATAACACGTATATAGCCACGCGCTGTTGTTTGTTTTCGCGTGACTGCCTCTGTTATGGATGATGCCTATTATATTTCTCATCACACCCCGCCTGGGTAGCTCAATCGGTAGAGCGTGTGACTCTTATATTCCTTATCCTAGCATAGGTGACGAGATCATCTCAAGGTCGCGGGTTCGAGCCCCGCCTCGGGCTCAAATCCCGAGTGCTCTCTTGAGGAGTCCTCAAACTTTTTTTTTGCTCTGGTTACCTGCTGCCTATCTGCCTGCCTACCTGATGCCTGCCTACCTGTTGCCTGCCTGTTGCCTGCCTGCCTGTCTGTTTGCCTACTATCAGCCTGCTCACCCCCCTCCCCCCTTCCCGCCCCTAATCCCTCATAGTTCTCGGAATCCTCACCTTCCTCACTTTCCTCACATTTATCACAAAGACGAGACAGAGTTTTGTTTGTATAAAGTAGTTGAGGGTATAATTATATATCACCATCCCATCCATCTTCCCACCTCCTTCTCCTCCTCATCGCTCCAAAACATCTATAGGATATATCCACACAACAGCAGCACACGCTCAATGCCCCTCCATCCGTCACAACACAAGTACAAAAAAAACTCCCAAAGCCTATGCACATAGAACAGACACCCCGTATTGTAAATGCTGCACCCATCCATCCATTATCCCCCAAAACAATAAAACGCCTTCGTATGTGTTTTCTCGTATCCAAAAAGCTGAGAGTATCCCCAAAAACGCTCCTTCTCCGTGCATCCCATTCCCTATCCCCTTTTCCGCCGTGTGACGCCTTCGTCTCTAAAAAAAATCCCAAAAAATGCTCCACGCTGTGCAATTTGACATCACTTCCCCCCCCTTTTCAAACAAAGAATCTTATCCGTGTTTGCCGGCGGCCTTGTCGTTCGTATAAATATAGACAAGAGAATTTTGAAGTCCCCCTATCGAACTTCCTCACACCCCTCGTGCATTCATAGTAAGCACCTTCCACAACAAACCCCTCTTCCCCATAAACCCCCCCTCATGGGCCCTCTCCTGCGCCGCCGCAGGCGGAGGTGCCATCATATCCGCACCCCCTCTATAATCCCTCGTCGTCTCCTCGCTTGCCCTAGCCCCTGAATCAAGACTCGACCTCGCACTAAGACTCTCCTCCCACCCATACCGATCCGCCGACTCCGCTTGGGAAGTAGCCGCAGTAGTAGACGAGTGCACGCTCGCGCGATCGACGAGCGTGCTCGCGAGCGAGGTGATGCTCATCGCCGGAGTGAAAAGGGCGGTCTCATTACTCGTGACGCTCGGATTGCGGCCTCGTTTCGTCGCAGTAGTAGCAAGCAGCCTCCAATCAATTTCCGCCTCCTCAGCTTCCGCGCTCGTGACAGGTCGCGCCGCCTCAGCCGCAAGGATAGAGTTAAGCGTCGGCGCGGGATGAGCGTAGATATACTGATTCTGCAGGCTCGGGCGCGGAATGCGTCGTCTCGGTTTCGGTTTCGGCGTCGGTGGTGCCATCCTTGTAGGTTCCGTGGGCGCAGGCACGGGCGCCTCTGATTTTGCGACCGCGTCGATTCCTTTCGTCTCCAGCACGTCCGCCGCGCCCGCGCCGGCCACCGTCGCCATCGCTGAGATGGCAGGCGATGGACGGCGCGTGGCTACCTCGAAGGGGGCCGTCATCGTGGCCGCGGGCGGCAGCACGGAAGCGGGGATCCTCTGCGAGGGCTGCGGAGCGTGGGGGACGGAGGATCTCGGCGCGATCTGCGCTCCCTATTGCGGAGGGCGGGCGTGCGGGTAGCTGCTGGATGACGACGTGTTCGGGTTGTATTGATTGGCGTTGTGGCGCGGGGCGTGCGGGTAGCTCGAGGTGAATTCCGAGGTGTGCGAGGGGCGCGTCTTGCGGAGTCCCCATTTGAAGCCCATTTTCTCCCAGGCGGACCCGGATTTCGCCTTCGGGCTTGAATCCGAGGAGTCGAGCAAGTCGGAAGTGGGTGGTGTGATCGGGGGCGTCATGGGCTCACCAAGGGAAGTCGGAGAGTCCGCGGTGCTCATGCTGTCGTCGGTGTAGGAGTCGTCGTTTGCTTCGGCGCTACTGGTCGTAGATGAGGTATAATGAGAACCGAGGCCACGTTTGAGGGTAAGAGCAAGGTGAGAAGGTTGTGACGGGCGTAGAGATCCAGAGTAGGTTTGTGTGTCACGACTCGAACTTCCATAGCCTGAGTGTGAAGAGGCCCCGGAGTGGTTACGAGATTCCTGTGTGAGCATACCTGCCATATCATCCGTCGACGCGTACGGACTCGAGTAGGTGGTGGGGCCTCGCGTTACCGAGACGGAATTGAGGAAGGGCACAAGAACACTCTCCTCCATGAGATCGTACACTATCCTGACGGCTGTATCCAGTTGTGAGGGGTGTGGTGGTGTGAAGTGGTTTGGGGCAGAGACGAGGCGATCGCGAACGTCGGACGGTAGGTTGACCTCGCGGGGTCCATTCGGTGTAATGTAGGCATCCAGCAGCTTCTGCCATAGCATACGAACGTATTCGCAACCCTCCGTCGACGGTGTTATTAGTAGCCCACGGCTATTCTCTCGTAATGTTTCATAATGTTTCCGGTACCGCGAAGCATCCATTGTAAATTCTAGTGTTTCCAAGCAGTGATTTTGTGATAGGTAGGCCATGAAGGCGCTGAGCGTCCATGGCGGCGGTGCCGAGTTTGCGAGCACCTCTTGCAGTGTCGGCCTTCGTGGGCAGTATGGTCCAGCAGGAATGGCAAGGCTCAGTGGCCTCGATGGCAGGTTGTCGCCAGACGACATGAATTCGTCGTCGGCGTCCCAGTCGAAGACGACCGGAGAGCACCTCGGCGAGGGATAAGCGGTATTTTCTTCGTGGTTTTGTTGAGGTATTTGTTTCGGTCGTTTCGACTTTCTCATTGCGATTCGGGAGAACCTCATGAAGCCCTTGGCCTCTTTCCCAGCTGTGCTACTGCTCCTGCTCTTTCGTGTACTGAAAGATGGAGAGACGTTTCTATATCGACAGCATTGGCAACGTCGTGTATGTGTAATGCAGTAGGGTATCTGGTAATGAGGAGAACGACCTTTTTGCAGTCGCGTTTGGGACCAAAGAGGGTCTACGTTCTGACTGGCGGATCTAAGAAACGACGAATCGCTTTTAACGCATGCAAGTAGCCGATCAAACTTCCAATGGTTGTCGATCTCCGTTTCGTTCCAAGACACCCGGGTGTCAAGCGTTATGCAGTGTATCGTCAGGAATGTTTCCTGGGCCTCCGCGCGTCCGAATGTATGGTATGGGTGTGAGGGTGGTGGTGTAAGTTGGTGTGGCGATGGTCACAAACGTGCCTTTGAGTAACCCTTCGTGTAACGTTGGCGAGAGTGTCGGGAAGGAGAGGTATAAGAGAGAGTAGCCTCTGACAGATTCTTTGTGTTGCCAGTGACGATGTATGTAAAGACCCGATTCGTAGTTTCCTCTTTTTCGTAATAGCGACTCTCTTTATTTTTTCGTAGCGGGTGACACCAAGGTGGTGCAAAGTAATGGGTCCTAAGTCCACTTATAGTCCCACTGCCCTGGGAAGGAGGCAACGGCTGGCAACCTTTTTTGCTTTCAAAGTCAGTGCGAGGCTCGCAAGGTGTGATTTGTGTGATTTGTGTGGTTTGTGCTTGTATGTGTGAGGTAAGGTATATGGAGCGGATATGGATCGATATGGAGTTTGTATGGAGCAAACGGGGATCGGTTTGGCGCGGCTAAAGACAGAACGTTTTCACACAGAAATGAGTGAATGGGTCGGTCGGGAAGGATGGACTGGTCTCGGAGAAGGGATATGGGTCGATATGGATGTTTCGAAAGAGGCTTCTGTGCATCTGAGATCCGAAGTGGGTATTATCAGTAGTAAGGTACTCTGAATAGTGGATGCTTGTGGATGCTTGTGGGTGCCTGTGGGTGCTTGTGGGTGCTGGTGGGGCCAAGACGTAATAAAGGCGAGTACTCCGTTCAGTCCGTGGAGTCCGTTCAATCCGTATAGTGGAGACTTTTTCTTTTCGGGGGGGTGGGACAGCGGAATGATGGAAGGCCTGGTTTTTGAGTCGAGTAAGTAACTTTTTGTCGTAGTAGTGGTAAGTTGTAGTGATGTATATAGAGTACTACAAAAGTAAAAAAGTAAGTAGTGCTCCGTATGGCATGTCAGGTTAGGTTACTGGAAGAGGAAGAAGGCTGGTCGCAACGGTTTTGCGGGTTGCGGGTTGTAGGTCGCCACTGCCACTGTGTGCAAGGTCCTGAGTTGCGAGGTGTCCGAGGTGCCACTTGGGGATTGAACACAACGACGACAAGTGGACGGACAGAGTGGATTGTAGCAGGCGGTAGAGTTTGTTGGGATGCAAGATATGAGGTGAGGGTGGCAACAAGGTGTTCTTTTCTTACCTTTTGCTTTACTATACAATAGAGTAATTGTACAGTTGAGTAAGTGAGTGAGTGGGTTGAAAGGCAGTTTGTTGGTGGAGCAGCAGGCAGGCAAGGCCAGGAAGCAGACAAGAGTAAAACAAACAAGCAGTTCGAACAGCGAAGCGCGGCGGATAAGTAGCGGCAGGGTATTAGAGTAATGGTAGAGTAGAGTTAGAGTACCAGGAGCAGGTACTCTTCCTCCTCGCCGGTCGTTTCTTCTTCTGTCGCTTCTGGAAGGGAAGGAAAGAATAGAATAGAGTACGAAGTAGGGAGTAGAGTGTACGCCGCTCAGGGTTCGGTGGCGAGGTGGAGTCAAGGGAGTTCGGATGGGTGAATCGTTCGGTCAGTCCCAGTCCTAGTCGATTTGACAGGCAAGGGCCGGCGGCGTAGGGTAAGGGTAGGTTGAGACAGGCGGGCGGCAGGGCGTAGACTTGGCGTTTATGTGCAGTAGAGTAGAGTAGAGTGCAGTAATGTAAGAGGAGTGTAGGGGTTTGTAGGGGTTTGCTAGAGTGCTTTGAGGAGGCGAGATGGAATGTTCAAGGGTCAAGGAAGGTGGAGAGCCCAGTACGGAGACAATAGACGAATACAGACAACAAAGACAATCAATAAGAGAGGAATGGGAGAGTTACTCGTACTCTATTGGGAAGAGTAACTACTGTAGTATGCTTTGAGAGGTTGTCAGGGCCAGGGTTCAAGAAGGACTGGTAAGATTAGTGAGCCAGATGAGGGCCGAGGATGGAACGGATGGGATGAATGA